GGAAGCATCTAGGCAGAGGGGTCAAATGCTTCTTTTGGACCCAAGAAGAGTGTCGAAATAGACGATAAAGAGCTGAGATCAAGAGGTCACTTCAGATGGGAGAGAAGATAGATATCTCAGTGGATGGCCACAGAGACAGGTAATGACCTGATATTGGCACTAGACAATTCCAACTCCTCCAAAGCCTTAACACATCATAAGCACCCAGTACTTAGGAAAAAATCCTAGAAATAATTGAGACTTATTTTCCAAAACCTGGTGGAATGGAAGTTTTAAGCAGACAATGAGCCATTCAGATATTGAGTGTTCCAATCTCTAGAGAGATTGGAAATGGTTGCTTAAATAGCATAATGTTTCTTTCTGTCCTGTAGTAGAATTTCTGAGGTCAGCAGTCCAAGGAATGCATGGCAAGCCTCTCATTCCCTCTCATTAAGGACCCAGACCCTACTGAGAAGTGACTTCCATCTATAACATTTCTTCACAATCTAAGATGGCTACTGAGTTCCAGGCCTAAAACAGAACAAAAGGGGAAAAGACAAGAAAAGGTCCATGACAGTTCTCTGTCCACATCTATGGGATATTCCCAGAAGTCATGCCAAATAACCTCTTACATCCCTTTGGTAACCCCTAGCTGTAAAAGAGGCTAAGAAATGTGATCTTTTAGCTGGGCTCCAATAAAATAGGTTCTGTTATTAAGGAGCAAAGAGAAAATGGATACTGGATAGCAGCTTGCAGACAATAAGTTAATTCTCAGGGAGAAAACAAGAAGGTAAAATTGTGCTCATAGGTTTATGAGCTGAGATTCGTATACCCCGAACCACCTCCCCTCATAAATTCTAAACTTACAGAGAGCAGAGTCTATTTCTCTCTAGTTCACAGTTTTATCCAAGCATCTAGTCCAATGTCTGCTACTCATAGACAATCAATATATAATTGCTTAATGAATGAAGTAATTAAGGAAAAGGAATGGATAAATGAGTACACATGGCCTTCCGTCACTCAGCATCACTTAAAATTTATTTGACATTTTAATGTGCTGTGATAGTGTTAATGCTGCTTACTGAGTATTTCTGGTGCCCTACCTCTGGGTACATCGTAGGATTGCACTTCCCACACTCCTTGTATCTGGGTAATGCCATGTGATTGTGGCCACAGAGTTGTAAGTGGAGGTGAATGTCTATCTTCTGGGCCCAAGGATTTAATTGCCAACATGAGACCCACCGAGCTCTCATTCCCACTGCCAGAGTAACCGAGAACATAAGAGCTGGTGGTTTCTCCATCAGCCTGGGTCTCTGAGAAAGGTGACACGAAGCAGCTGACCTGCAGTGAGTATGTGACAGAGGCAAGATCATATTCCCCGGATTCACAGACTTACTATCCCCATACAAATGCAAGCTCTTTTTAATCTAGTCAAACATTTTACTTGCTAACGAAACACATTAAATTAGTGTTGTGGGTCTACAACCAACTTGACCTCTGAAAGAGTGACATCAACTTTTAAAAGTCAAGTTAAGGGCTGGCTAGGCACTCTCTGCCTCTATGACCCAGGTTCACGGGTTCGAATCCTGGGTGTGGACCTACACTACTCATCAAGCCATGCTGTGGCAGCAACCCACATACAAAATAGAGGAAGATTGGCACAGATGTTAGCTCAGGGCCAATCTTCCTCATCAAAAAAAAAAAAAGAAGAAAGCAGTCAAGTTAAAAATAATCAATAAACTAGCATAATGAACAAATCCAATGTGAATAAAGTTAGAACAATTAGGGTAAAATATATTTTCAAGAAAAGCCTTTGCCTTAGTATTTTAAAGAACACAGAAACAGAAATTTTTTAAAAATTAAATAGTTGCATTTGAATCAAGGTAAATAACAGCATTATAACAAGTGGTACAATTAAAAGAGGGTTTTTTTTAATCCTTTTAGCTACATATATAAATTAATCACGTGTAATATACATACATATGTAATTGTACAATATAAATATTATTAAAAGGTACAATATAGAAATACATGTTTTTTAGAGACCAAAATCTCACTGTGGTACCTTTAAAGTATAATAATCTGGCTAATCAGCTTTGTTTCCCACTTTCTGACTCTATAGTTAAATATAGATTTTGAAAAATAATTAAAAGCTATGATATCTTTTACCCTAAAATACGTGGACCATAAAAATTAAACATAATTTGGTTAATATCAAACAACTTTATCTTTCACAGATAGTTTAATCAAAGCCTTTATTCTAAAATCTCAGGAAATTATTACTAGACAATGTTTAGCTTCTTCCAAATCAAGCAATTTTAGTTGCTTTTAACCATTTTTCCCTAACATACGATTTCATGGTTGTTATGTTATATGACTTGAATCACCTGTACAGCAATACAGATGAGATACTTAGACATGTTGAGATTTGCTGCCCTTTCCTGGAAGAGCTGATTATTTTCCATGAGGATGAAAAAGATGTTACACTGAAGTCTTTTGTTTTAGATGACTAATGGATAAATTAACTACCCAGGCAAGAAGACTAAATGGAAATAATTGGGTGTCTCTTTCCTTATAACTTAATCTTCTAACTCCTATGTAGATAGTGCCATGTGAGTGCAGATTGAAGCTAAACTTGTTAAGGGCTCCAAAATTCAGGGTTTGCATACTATTTTTATTCTCCAGTTTATTTCTAAATGTAATAAATAATTTAAGAGATTTACCATCACTTTCTTAATATAAAAAAAGGAAAATCCAAAGGAGTTTAATGGTGCAATGTATGCAGTGAAAAGATGACACTGTGAAAATTAAAATATTACTGGGGTCATGGATTGAAAAGATTTGTAAGTATTCTCCCCCAAAGTCCCAGCTTTTTTTTTTATCTTATGACACTGAATTTTTGGATCATGTTGAAGATTATAGACCACAATTTCTGTGTAATGATGCAATGAAATACAATACATTTCCAGATGAGCCCATTGGCAATTCAAATACCCATGCATACAAATCTCAATTACTTTTTTTAAAGTGGTCTTTCTCAATGGGAGAACACAATGACACAACATGAATAAGTACACAAATTATCACCCTTCTAGTTCATATAATGTATCTTTGCAAAGAGTCCTGAAAAGTCACCACAGACACACTGCCAGTCAGGCCGTTTGGTCCAGAAACCATATGTTCAACTACACCATGAAAAACGCTATTGCAGATGGGGCATATGCTTGGCAAAGCCATGGATCACCAGCTGAGCCCTGCTTTCTCCAGGAAACTCCAGCTGAGTGACAGTCGGCATCCTTCCAAGGGCAATGGTTCCCTTTGCGCCATCAGAGAATCAAAAGAGTTTGGGCCCCTTATGGTTCAGTCGATCCATGCAGTCACTCTACAGACACATGTTGTGAGTAGAATGAGTGAGTGAATGGGCCCAGCCTGATATTTCCCCATGGCTTTCTCCTCAGTGGCCTTTAAGAGTATCCACTCCCACAGCCACTTTGCAGATGGCTGGTGACTTTGACTTTACCTTTGTTTTTGATAACACAATATTCAAGTTCCACAACTATTAGGAGTACACTCTGTCTGTCTTTAGACCTTAGGTAATGTGGACTTATTTCCTTCCTAACCTTCTTAAAAGAGGCTTAATGGAATTTTGCATTTCTCCTATTGCAAAAATTCTTAGGTTTTTGTCAAAAGAGATTTGAAATACCACATGAAATGATGTACTCACATCCCTCACCACCACCTCCAAATAACTGAATTACATAAATAAAACATTACATAGAAAGTGCTTTGCTACAATTTTTGGGAGGTAAATTTAACAAGAGCTGAGTCATTGTAGGAAAATTCAACTTATCTTTTCCTGATCCTTTTGTTCTATACAGGGAAAGAAATTTATGTCAGTTTAAAAAAAATCTATTACTGCTTCTCATAACTGAATCCATTATTTTTCTCCATGATCCATCAGGTAAAAACAAGAAGAATAGATTGCTTTGACAGAATCTTGAACATAAATGTCTCCAAGAATCAAGCGTACTAAGTTAAATGGGTTTCAGGTGATATTAAAACAAGAAAGGATAACCTTCTTTTTTACATTTCAAAATCAAATCTTACTAAAAAATTTATTATTATTAGCTACTACAGAAAGACAATTATATAGTAGCTGAATTTTCACAATGAAATGGGATATTTCAATTAATTTCTACATATGTTCAAGCAGGATTGAACTCCAAGTAATGAGCTTGTAGAAAATGAGCTATATTTTTAATTTTTAATAACTGGTTATTTATAATATGCTCCTTGATCGCATTAGACCCAATGACTTTAAATAAATAACTGAAGTTGTCCTATACATAGTCACCTAATTAGAAAGATTAACGTTGGCCTTATCTTACAAATATTTGCTGTTCATAAAGGAACCAAGGGGCTCTATAATCATTAGCTCCACATGACCCATTTTAGTTTCAGAAAAGTCTGAGTGTATGTACACACACCTACCTGCTATATATACATAGTAGAGCTGCTTCATCTCAGGGGATTTTCTCCTTATGGACACCATTCAGCATCTAATCTTCTCTAATTTCATCAGCTAAGCCGACCTCCCAACTTGTCTCCAGGAAAGTTGACCATATTCCCAGCTTCAGCGGCAAAACTTATTCTAAGCCAATCAGCACATAACATTCACACTAAGTCTATTACTGGTCCAAGGCTGGGCATTTGACCCCAATTTACCTGAACAGAAGAAGAACGATTTTTATGCAAGCTGAAAATGCAGAGAGAGAGGTTTTCCATTTTCTCCTGTTAGGTGAAGAGAAGAGGGTGTCCCAGTTGCTACTGATGGCCATCTGTAACCGTGGGAATGAGGACAACGCAGATGGCAGAGGGAAGGGTGGGAAAGAAATGGGGCATTTGTTAACACCATTGAACTGCTAATGGCTTGTGACTGGAACCCTCTCTACCTCCTGTCTTCCAGTCAGAGAGTTTACAGATTTACTTAGTCCTTAATCCACTTTGTATTAGGGTTTCTGTAACTGTTTAGATACGCTCTTCTTCCCCTTTCAAGATGAGAGAATATACTCACAATATTGTTTGCTTGTGACTTGTTTCATTCACATTGCTGCACATCAGAAGATCTTTGACTATATATCTGATTTTGAAACCACCTTTGAGAACTTTCCCTAATCATCTAACGAGACACAGAATTTGATGCACCCATTGCTTAAAACAGTAACATTCTTACAAAGGTTAATGCAAACTTAAGATGAGTAAAAACCCTCTGGTCCTTCCAGACAGAAGATGCAGTTTCACAACCAAGGTCAAACATTATTCCTACTCTCTAGATCTGAAACAGAGCTGGACCTGCTTTGTAGTCAATTTAAAACTCTGGCCTTTATGTCAAAGGTACATTTTTTTAATTATTCAGAAATCCTAGGCCAAAACATCCTACTGCTCTCCTCTCATTTTCCTAAAGTATTTTGATACCTATTTCTCTGATCTTGCAGGCTATTAGATGTTTCTTGCATATTGTCATAGATAATAACTCATCAGCTTTACAATCTGATTCCTAACATTAAGAGATTAAAAGGAATTTAGATGATTCTCAGATGACACAAACTGAGGTATAGAAAAACTCCATCATTTCCTTCCACAGAATGAGACAGATTTTAATTCTTTTTATCAACAGCTGCTTCATTTTTTTATGCATAGGAAAAAAAATATGTGCAATTATTCCAGTACAATCAAGTCATTTAACATGGTTTTACTATCATTGTAGTTACAGGATATTTTAAAAGAGAAAAAAAATCTCAAAGCACAGGTCCTGCTGTGCAGCAAAGCAATCAAATCCCTTCATAATAACAGCCTGATGGGATTCAGCAATCCAAGGAATAATGAATAACCATTTTAATCAGTAAACAGGAAAATGCTACAACAGTCACTGAGTAAAAATTGACTGTCATCTGTTGATCCTCTTGATCGGCATTTCAAGCAATAAATAGAAATGTAAGCATCTTTTAAAAAGAAAAATAACTTTGTTTAGTGCATTTCATTTTGTCAGGCCGTGAGGAAATGATAAATCATCGTAGAATGCCCTGCAGTGTTGCCCAGTCAATAAAATGCACAAATAATCTTTTTTATAATACGTGGCCAAATTTACCCCATCACTTGACTATGTCAAGATAATCTCATTTCGCAATTGGCTAATACGGTTGCATTTTGGGTCTGATTATTGAACTTTATTGCTGCTTCATTATTTGATGTGTTTCAGTGTTCATCTTACGAAGTTATCTGTATCTGAATATGAAGATTCTGTTTCAAAATAATCCTCAAGTTTCCACTGCAGTGTCTCAAATGTTGGCCGTTCCTTAGGCTCTGCATTCCAACACTCCAACATGATGTTGTAGAATTGCAGTGGGCAGTTAGACGGTTGAGGGAGTCTATAGTTTTGACCCAACATCTGGATTACCTGAGTACCTGTCATACCTAAAAAATATCAAATGGAACCAATAAAAAACAAGTTAGAGATCAGAGTCTTAAATTCATAGATACTTATGCTCTAGATTACAAAGCAAATTGATTTTCTTGGCTAAGCTATGAGGTCTACCATCCTCTTCTCGGGCTGCAGAGATTAAACTAAATCCTGCAGCAAGTAATGTCTGTAAGACTGCGATTCAAGAGCAAAGGAGAAGGAGGCAATAAACCACCTCATTAATGCAAATTATCATCATCAAATTTTATCTATTATGCTCCCACAGGCACATGGTGTGGTCAGCCCCATAACTCTGCCCTCTAAGTCTGGGCAAGGCAGTTAAAGTCACACCAAAGTAAGTGACCCGCAGCAGAAAGGCCCACTTCAGAATTAATTACTCACCACTATAAGGCATTTTGCCATAAGTAATGATTTCAAAAAGAAGGATTCCAAATGACCACACATCGGACTTAATGCTGAATTTATTAGTACGAATGGCTTCAGGCGCAGTCCACTTCACCGGCAGCTTTATTTCGTGTTTAGATTCATAGATGTCTTCATTATCTACCTGTTAATGCATTAAGGAATCAAGCCAAGTTAAAGTGATATTTTTTTACCACCCTCGTTGATCTGTAACCTGCTTCACATTAAAATTTAGAGGGAAAAGATTCAAAATGAGCTTAGTTCAATTGATAATTACAGTAACAGATGCCAAATCTGGAATACAAGACTGCAAAATCCATGGGAAGTCATTAATAAAATATTATTTGAGAGCCTACTATGTGCTAAAAATAGCACTGGAAGGAGCATTCTACTGCATATGTCATGATACTGGCTTTACATTTGGTCTCTAGCAAATAAAAAAAAATGAAAGCAAAGCCTGTTTTCTGATTTACTGATGGTGTTGAAGAGCCACTGACTTTGATAATTACCACGTAACCACTTTCTAATATTGAAAAGCAGGATCCTGTGATTTAAATTAAAGTATCAACTCACTGGGGTTCTAATTAATTTACAAAAAGAAAGGATGACGTATTCAAGAAGATCAAAAGAGAATCATTTATTTGCTGTGTTTCATGCTCCACACCCATATTTTTAGGGTACAGTGTAGAAATTAAATATTAAATTCAGAGAAAACTATCTAATATTATATCTCCTACATTAGTGTCTTTTGGCCTGATGTCAGAAAAGGCAGTGGGGCAGGCAGGAATTAAAAAGCCAATGATTGCTGAAGAATTCCAGAAGCATGCATATTAGTCTGGCATAAAGTGAGCAAAGGTGGGTGGGATAACTCTGTACAAAGTGTGCTGCTTTTTGTAAGGGAAATAGGCAGACAAACAGAGGCTACCGGTGCTGAAAAACAGATCATTAATTCAACCACAAACTTAATTACATACTTTCCCATCTGGTTGGTCATCATTTTCTCTGTTTCTTGCTCTTTGGCGAAGAAATAGAAACAAGAGGTAGTTTGTCTGTAAGGCCCTGGGCTCTTGAAGTGGTCAATGGACCACAGAACTTGGAGAAACATTGTTTTGAAAAATAACAGTAACTCTGGTCTATTAGGCTTTTGACTCACTACAAACTAATTAAAACAAAACAAATCCACCTTAAAAACTCTTGCAAGTCCAAAATCTGCCACTTTGTAGATATTATGTTCACCAACAAGGACATTTCTGGCAGCCAGATCTCTATGGATGTAGTTCTGGGACTCCAGATAGGCCATTCCAGAGGCAACCTGTGCTGCCATGTCTACCTGCTGAGTCAGATGAATTTTAGCTCCAGCGTCATCTAGGCAAAAAAAGAAAGTAAAAGATTTACTTTGGAGAACATTTGAACTATTGAAGTGAATTCTGAGAATTTTGGTGAATGAGCTATCAGTGGGATTAAGTGCCATAGCGCTGATCTGTTGAGCAAAGAAATATAATCAATACAAACCATTTCATTTCTTGTGAAGGGTGAATGAGGCAACAATTTTCAGAGTCTAAACACGTTCCAAGGCTGTGGGCCTCTCTTCACTGAATGAGCATTACACAGAGAAAGAAGCAATAGTGTCACACGATCCAAACACGGCTGTAAGTATCTGAAAGAGTCCAGCTATTGCCATTTTCAATACCACACATCACTGGCTCATCTATTCATGGAAATTGTTACTTGGTTGCCTCTGGATTTCTTTCAAACACTGCATAGTCTGTTTTAGCCTTTGAACCTATAAAATAATGCTAATTTGCGTGGCTGAGTCAATGAAAAGTTCTCATTCTTCTACCATATTGTTCTTAAAAACTAGCTCACTAACAAAAATGAAGAGTCTATCAGTAGTTATAAAATGTGTATATTACACTTGTACTCCATTAAGATTGATATATTTTTTAAATTTCCCTTTCTTAGCCTGTTATTCTTAGAATAGTTTGCTCATCTCTCCAGGCAATGGACTCACCTTTAATAGACACAGTTTCTCTTACTGCTGATCCTGTGTAATTAAGTACAAGAAATGTATGTAGTTGGGTCAGTTTTATCCTTAGTAGAGAGGTTAGTGTTATTTTGTGGTGACTTTGTGAAATGGAGTAAGCCATCCCTGGATAGTGTTTAGCTGCCATACTGTTAGCAGATGTCTTCAGATTTCTGGAGAATTTAAAAGATCTCATATAAATCCAAACTATTATTATCCCTGTCTGAATAAGCCAAATATTAATAAAAGTGCATTGGACTCACGGTCAAGAGTCTTAGACACCACTCCTGATTTGAGAGGCAACTATAGTACAGAAGTTAAGAAGACTAGTTTGAAGCTATAGTGCCAGAGTTTGGACCAGGGCTCTGCCTCACATTTCTTCCTGACCTTGGACAAGCTGCTTAACACTCCTATGCCTCAATTTCCTCATCTATATGGCGATAATTGTAATTACCTTAAAGTATTAGTTGTTAAAATGAGAATTAATAAAATGAAAGTTAAAATGAGTTAATAGGGGCCGGCCCAGTGGCATAGTGGTTAAGTTCGCGCGTTCCGTTTTGGTAGCCCGGGGTTCACCGGTTCGGATCTTGGGCGTGGACCTACTCACTGCTCATCAAGCCATGCTGAGGCAGCATCCCATGTAGAAGAGCTACAACTCTACAAGTATGATATACAACTATGTACTGGGGTTTTAGAGAGGGGAAAAAAAGGAAAAAGAGGAAGATCAGCAACAGATGTTAGTGCAGGGCCAATCTTCCTCAGAAAAAAAAGAAATGAGTTAATACACATAAAGCACTTAACACAGTGCCTGGCTCCTAGGAGAACTCAGTAAATTCTACCTGTTATGATTACCATTGCTGCTGCTTACTTAGAATTAAACAGTTTAGGGCCAGCCCCATGGCTTAGCAGTTAAGCGCTCACGCTCTGCTGCTGACGGCCCGGGTTCGGATCTGGGCGGGCACCAATGCACCGCTTCTCCTGCCATGCTGAGGCCGCGTCCCACATACAGCAACTAGAAGGATGTGCAGCTATGACATACAACTATCTACTGGGGCTTTGGGGGGAAAAAAAAGGAGGATTGGCAATAGATGTTAGCTGAGAGCCGGTCTCCTTCAGCAAAAAGAGGAGGATTAGCACGGCTGTTAGCTCAGGGCTGATCTTCCTCAAAAAAAAAAAAAAAAGAATTAAACAGTTTAGGATTCATTAAACTAGAGATGCATATGGATTACTCAAATGGAAATACCTAAAAGAAGACAAGCATATGGATCTGAAGCTCAGGGGAAAGAGGCAGCCACAAATATTGGTTTAACAGTCATAGTTTATGAGTGGGAGTTAATAAAAGTGAGAGAGATTGCTAGAAAGTGACAGAATCATGAGAAACACCAACATTTAGGGTGGGCAAAGGAAGATAAACCTGCAAGAAAACTGAGAGGAATCAGCAAGAAAACTGAGAGGAATCAGCCAGAAGAATAAGAGGAGAACCAGAAGAGAACATCATAACAGTTAAAGGTTTTGAGAAGAGAAAGTCACTACAATTGTCAAATTCCACAGATAAGTCCAGCAAGATAAAGACTAAAAAGTATTTGTTAAATATAATAATTAGGGAGCCATTGGTGACTTTGGTGGCAGGAATTGCAGTTTCACTGGAGATGGAGTATAAGGGGTTGAGGGCTGAATGGGAGTTAAGGACATGGAGAAAGCAAGAGGGGAGATGTCAATTTTCAAAAACCTAGTCAGGAAGGGAAGGCAACAAGGATGTGATAGAGGAAAATGTAAGTCATGGGAAAGCAATTATCATGAAATTCACAATAGCGAGGGGTTGTCATTGACAATGTACTCAGGGGTTTCTCGTGCTGGCCATGTTCTCATTTTTCATTTGTACAGTGGCTGTATAGTTGTTTACTTGTTCACTTTACAATTACTGTACTATATGATTTATGTACTTTCTACATGTATTCTATCTTTTTTAATTAAAACGTGAAATAAATAGAGTCAAGGGAAGTTTGTAAATGGGAAAGACCTGAGCATAGAGCACTGTGTGTGTGTGTGTATGTGCGTGTACATATATATATATAATTTTTTTTAATCAAGCAGCATATTTAAATAGGATGTGAGGCGAAACTAACAGCTCAATGACCCATTTGCCCTTTTCTTCCCTGGCATACACAGAAGACTATTCCCCATCTTCTCTTGCAGTTAAATTGGGCCATATCACTGTTTCTGTGCACTGCAATGTGTGCAGAGAAGATATTCATCACTTAAGGCCTGATCTTTAAAATTTTCTACATCTTTGTAGCTAGAAGGGATGAATTTTGAAACAGCCGAGTCACGTGATCGAAGGAGTCTGAATCCGTGTCACTGTTTAAAGAAAGCCACCTAGAAGACCAGCCTGATGCATATCAAAAATGCATATATTTTGTTATATCATTGAGATTTTTGAATTGTATGTTATAGCAGCTAACATTAATTATTCAGTCTAAAATGAGATATAAGCAAAAACAAAATATAATTTAGTGTGCAGCATAATGGCAAAGTATTGTTGCTGTGATGGCCAAAATAGCCACGTCTTTTGTCATCAAATTCACTCAATAAGAAAAGAAACATAAAAAAGTTAAGATAAACTGGTGACTAGTCCTAGGCCATGCGGTAAGCAGCTTCTAAAATGGCTCCCAATGATCTCTGCCTCCTGGTATTCACGCTGCGTGAAATCACCTTCCATTAAGTGTAGTCTAAACCTAGTGACTCACTTTTAACAAATAGAATATGGCAAAAGTGATGGGGTACCACTTCTAAGATAAGTTATCAAAGATTGTGACTTCGTCTTGCTGGAACTATCCACTCCTTTGCTCTCTCATTTGCTCACTCTAATGAAGCCAACCGCCACGCTACAAGTTGCTCTATATTGAGATCCATGTAACAAGGAATATAGCGCAGCTTCCGGCCAACAACCAGCAAGGAACTGACTTCCTCAATCAGCAGCCCCAAGGGACCAACTCCTGCCAACAATCACATGAGGCAGGTTGGAAGTAGATCAACCTCCCCTAGAGCCTTCAGATGAGTGGAGCACCTGCCGACACCGTGATTGCAGCCTTGTGAGAAACCCTGAGCTAGAAGACCCAGCTCAGCTGCTCCTGAATTCCTGACTGCAGAAACAGTGAGATAATAAATGTTTGCCACTTTTAGCCACTAAGTTTTGGGGTAATTTGTTGTGCCTCAATAGATAACAGATACAGGTTGACATTAGGAAAATAACAGCAGTGCTATGCATATGGTTAAAAGCGTGGACGACGGAGCCAGATTTCCTGGGTTTGAATTCTGGTCAACCACCTTGGATAAGTTACTTAACCTCTTCATACCTCAATTTCTCCAACTGTAAAATGAGGATGATAATAATAATACTTACTTCATGGGGTTGTTAGAAGAATGAACTAAGTTAATATTTGTACAGGATATCTCAATGAAAACACTCTTGTCTATTTCAATCCACTTAAGCAAACTGTCCCTGAGAATGATGAACACGCTAGGATTTGATTTATTAAAAATATATATATATACTGACATATGTTAGATGCTCTACAAGTATTTATTGGAAAGAAAACAAGCCCAACTAAACTTAAAAAAAAAAAAAAGCAGATATTTATCCTCTTTAAATTTCAGTAAGAAATACTGGACAATAATTACCCTCAATGCTAAAGTTTTTGACAAGTTTCTTCCATTTTGGAGAAATTTATTGAAAAAAAATATTCAGCCAAGCTTAGGGACTACAAAGATGGTTCTATAGAAAAATATGTGTGTTATTTCAACTATCAAATACAACATCTAATCCTATTACATTGGATATAAAAAAGTTTTCACTGACAGGTACAATAGCGAAGGAAATTGAGTAACAACATATTGCTTACCCTGAAAGAGTACAGTGACCTACAAACTGCCTATATAAACCTCAGAGCACACTTCTAATACAATGGCCAGATGTCAAAACTGATATAAGGGTTCATAGACCTGTGACAATTTACATATGCAGCAAGAAAATATTTTCAATTATATTCCATTACTCAAGAGCCTTTCAGCTTAATAATATTTATCATGATGGGCTGTTTAAGAGTGGCAGATTCATTTTATGATAACTTCATTGAATTTAAAGTCTCTTGATTGGGATGGGATTGTCTGTAATGAGCATATCTTCATTACTCCACCTGGCTACTAAGTATCCCGGCAAATGAAAGCCTTGGTAAACTTGACCCTGATGACCCAACCCAGAAGATGACAGGATTCATGCTCAGCCCTGAGTAAAATACATCAAGAAACCACAGAAATCCTCAGTGCCAGAAGAGTTTGCAATGTAATAAGTGGGTCTTTTCAAGCTGACACCAAGAATCTCAAAACAAGCTCAACCCCAAGTTCCAATCATATTAGTTCGAGATGGCCCCAACTTAATCTCTCCATTAATTTACTCATTCAGTCAACAAATAATTAGTACACACTTTCTATGTGCCAGACACTGTTCTAGTACTTAAACAAGGAAAAATCTCTGTCCTCGTAGAGTTGTATTTTTCTTGTTGTTGTTAGTGACGTCGATTCTGATTCCTAGTGACCCTCTGTAGAGCAGAGCAGAACCCTGCCCAGTCTTCTTGCACCATGCTCTCAGCTTCCAGGGCTATATCAGACAATAATCCACTACTATTCATAGGATTTTCAAGGCCAATGTTTTCAGAAGTGGGTGGCCAGGTCCTTCTTCCTAATCCGTCTTAGTCCGGAAGCTCTGCTGAAACCTGTCCACCGTGGGTGACCCTGCTGGTATTTGAAATACCTGTGGCATAGCTTTTAGCATCACAGCAACATGTAGCCACCACAGTATGACAACTGACAGATGGGTGGTGTGGTCCCCTGAGCAGGAAATGTACGCAGGCCATGGCAGTGAGAGTACTGAATCTTAACCATTACAACACCAGGGCTGGCTAATTGTATTTTAGAAGATACTAAAAATAAGTTAAATAAATAAGTCATGCAGTATAAGATGATTAACAGCTAAGAAAATAAAACAAAAAGCAGGAAAGAATAATATAACAAGTCACTGAAGGGGGATTAAATTTTAGAATTTAGAGGTGACCAGTGAAGGACTTGCCATAATGGGAATGTCTGAATAAAGACCTTTAGGAAGCGAGGAAGTGAGCTATGTGGATAAGTAACAGGAAAAATTTTCAGATAGAGGAAACAGCAAGTACAAAGAGCCTGAAACAAAGCACATCTGGAAAATACAAAGAGCAGCAAGGAAGAGCAGTGTAGCTGACAGAGTGAACAAGGGGAAAGCCATGGGAGATGTGGTGAGATAGGTAGTGGAGAGCCAGGTCATGCAGGACTTTATGGGTTACACAGAGAGAACCAATGGGAGTCATTGAAGGTTTTGAGCTGAGGAGGGACACGATCTGATTTACATTTTAACAGGATCTCTCCAGCTACTGTGTTGAGAAGAGACTAAAGAACCAAAAGAGGGACACCAATTAGGAGGCAATTGCAGAATCCAGGAGAGAGTTTATGACAGCTTGGACCTGGGTGAAAGTATTGAGAAGTGGTAAAATCTTAGATATATTTGGAAAACAAGCCAATGAGATTTGCTGGTTGGTCAGATATAGGATGTAAGAAGAAGTAGAGATGATTCCAAGATATTAAGCCTGTGTGTTGACATTGTCAAAGGTGGAAAGACCGTAAGAGTAGCAGATTACTGGGGATAATAAGAGATCAGTTTTTGGACATGTTGTTTTGAGATGTCTAATAGACATATGTAATAGAAATTAGGGCTGTTCACAAACATTTACTTTTTCCTCCTTTCAATTAGGGGATTGTACTCCCCTACTCTCTTTGACTTGATTTGGCCAAATGAAAAGGGCACAGAAGTTACTTCTGTCACTCCTGGTCGGAAGCCTTAAGAGCCAGAATGAGATTAGTCATATCGCCTGCTCCTGCCAAGGTGATCAAAAGACCTGAGCCACTAGCCAATCTATTTTGCACATGTAGTGTGAGCAAGAAATAAACACTTGTGTTAAGCCTCTGGGATTTGGAGGAGTTTGTTACTGCATCATAGCTACATTATCCAGACTGATACAGTGTTCAAGTGGAGAAGTTAAGAAGGCAGTTGGATATATGACTCTGAAGTAATAGGGCAGGTATAATTTGGGGAATTGTTAATGCATAAATGTTATTAAACAATAAGACTGGTTGAGATTGGCAAGAGAACTAGTGATGTTGCAAAAGAGTGTTGGAAAATTCCAAGATATTGAGAAGTCTGGGAGATGAGGGAAATCACATAGATTGAGAAGAACCCACAAGAAAGACAGGAGGAAAAGCCATTTAGTGAAGTACTCTGGAAGCCAAATGAAGGCAATATTTCCAGAAGGAGAGAGTGTCTATTGAATTACCTACCACTGATAGGTCTAAGGATTGAGAATTGACTAGTAGATTTAACAGTGTTAATGTTATAAGTGACCTTGACAAAGCATTTTTGTTAGATATGACCCAAGATGGCTCCCATACTTTTGTCCCTGGGAATAAGGCAAACGGGGTCAGGGGCTGAGGTTAGTCTTTCTATGATGGGTAACATATTCTGAAGCTGTTAAATGTGATATCTTTATGCAAGAGAGCTAGGTATATTTTTGTTTTTAACAGCATTTAACAGGCCTTATATCTTTGCTCTTCTTATCTAGTTTTGCAATTTAGTATCACCAGCTTCACAAGCCACCCTGAAATCAGAGAAAACTCTTATCTTTCTAGTATTGTTGTTTATTATTCTCACCGCTCTTTACCTCTATAGATTCTATCAATCCCACTCCGACATTTCAAGAAAGTATAGAAAAAGTCTCGTTTTTAAGCATGCATTATTCTCTCAGTACTTGATCTCCACTGCTTTGAACATCTAATTTTAATGCTTATTATATTGTTGCCTATTAAATTATTCATTTGTAATAAACATCAAAATTTCACAATGCCCTTAAGTCTTCTCTGACTATAGGAAACAGATGTAGAAATAAAGCAATAGTATATTTCTGCTTTTTAGTCTGAAAATTCTAATGTTACCTTGCAGTGGAATTATTTTAAACACCAACAAGTACAATGTTATCAAACGCTGGCAAAGAAAAAAAAATAAAGGTACCTCTCCCTCTCTTGCCCCAAAAGTATTCTATGTCTCCTAATTCTGGGCCATAGAAAATATTGGTCCATGACTGATAATATTCAATTAGTTATTGCAGGAAACAAAGCATCATGCAAAACCCCTATTCTTCAGTTTTCCACATTACATTAAGAACTCCAATGTGTCTATTATGAACAACTTGTTCTTCCACTACATTAAATATTTTTCCTCCCTTTGAGTACGCAGTATATATCCTATTAAAGAGTAGTTGAGCAATTCAATGTTAAGACATTCATTCTTACAGATATACACATAGTAAATATCCTTTGGGTTATAGAAGTCTTGCTAAATTGACACTTATAGGACTAGCTAAACTAAATTCCTCTTTTTTTTCCTTTTATTAAGTCTTTAGCTTACTTTGGAGATATTCTAGCAGACTTCCATGTCTCATCAACTCTGTAATAATATAAATTGGATCTTCTAAAGTGCAAACAGCATAAAGCTGGATAAGCTTTGGATGTCTCAAGTTCTTCATTATCTGTGCCTCCCTCAGGAAGTCATTTGGATCCATTGAACCTGAAACAAGAAGAAGGGGAAATCACTTTCTGTTATTGAGGCATTCCTATCCTCACAGCAGCCTGGTGGGAATCACCAAGATTGCTTCCTGCCTCTCAGTAAAGTAAAAGCATTGGTGTCACAAATCTTCAGATTTATCAAAGAAGAGAATCAGCTCACCAGGAAACCCAATAACTGATGTGTTGGTGCATCAGCTTATGTGTTATGACCTGTAGGTAAAGAGAGGTTGATTCAGGTCCATATGAAAAATGAAGGAAAAAGGAGACTGACAGTCTAATTGATAAAACAAGGCAGGCATCTTAAGAACACAAAGAGAAGACATTTTATTAACATGAACGCTGGAAGACATTGAATGTTTAACTCCTGCAGCCAGAGGTTTTCTGGTCCAGGATCCAGGAAAGGCTGGTAGCTGCCCTGCACTTGGTACCCAGTGTAGAAAGAGCTGGATAACAATCCTAAAGCAATGACATTCTGCCATATTTGCATCCTTAATTCTGTAGGGACATATAGTATAAGCCAAGTAGAAACCATTCAAGGGTCACCCCCAAAACTTAGTGTTTTTCTCACCAGTCTTATATGTCTAACTTGAAACTAATAGTCAATATTTTCTCCTGTATTAATACTTCTGCAGTCAGAGACATAATAGCTTGACCAAATGATAAGGGAGACAGTCTTGGAGCCTATTTTAAAGGCTCTTCTATAATTGAATTGTATTTAATGGCTCAACTCCGTCTCACCATGCAAAGTGCCAAGTAGTTAACATCAAATAAAACCTAAAAGGAGGAAGAGCACCTGGAGTTTACATTTCATCAGTAATTTTAAAATCTTTCATTTCTTTTAAGATATGATGTTTCAGAATCATTACCATAATTGAAGGAATACTGTCAGTTCACATCTCAGTATTCACTATGGATAATGCAAATAGCATTTCCACTGATGCTCAGAGAGACTGTTGCATTCATCATCTTTTCATTTTGAAGACTTCACAAATAATATTTGAACCCAGGCATGGATAAGCTTTGACATTCTAAGCTAATACTCTGATTTGTTTGTTAATGTGCAGTTAAGAAGAGTTACATGTGACCTGCAGATCATTTCACATAAAGCATTTAGGCATTCTATCCTTTGGTACACACTTTGAGAGTCTATAAGTTCAGAACCCAGGCTCAATCAAACTCTGGATTCTAGACAAATCCTAGTTTGCTGTATGATCTTGAACAAGTTACCAAATATCTCTGAACTTCAGTTTCTTCATCTGTAAAATGTGGCTAATAATCCTACTGACATCATAAAATTGTTATCAGGATAACAGCATTACCTGGCACATATATATTCAATGACTATTGACCATTGTTTGTGTTATTATTGATATGCATACTCTTAGGAAAACCAAACAGATCAACTATAAGTATTTTTTCACAGGCTGAGGGGAAGAGGCATGGAGGGGAAGGGGAAGGAGTAGGACTTAAAGAGAGAGAATAGAGGGAAATGGCCTATTCTCCTTTCCATCACTTTTTGCTGAGCTCCCTCAATCCCATCTCGACCATTGGTTTGCTCCACGTATTCAAATAGGATTAAAATCTTGGATCATAGTGGTAAAATGGAGCTGAGAATAAAAGAGGCCCACAAACCATAATAAAGGACTGTTCTTGGCTGTTACAATTAGTTTCGCTTATGGTCAAATATGGATACAGTGGGATTCTCCCCACCCCTAAAAAAATATTCTAATTCATGAAGCTTCTGGTGATAGCATCAATTATGATCATCATTCAGACAATTTATATGTACAATATGTTTCTGTGTTGATGCTTTGGGTGGCCATCAGATTGGTGGAAGGCAGGACACTCAAATCATTGCCAAATCAGACTATCCATGAGAGCTGAAACCACAATATGTCAGGAGACTGTGCAGGTGAAGGCTGCTCAGAGCACTCCCTGGCTATGCAGGTTACAGCTGACGTGCTGCACAGCAAAGGAGACCCAATCTCAACTCGGCTAGTAATGCAACATTAAATATTAATTTTTGCCTGTCAAAGCTACTGTGGGAGTTGATTTCAAGCTTGTCTTTATTGCGTGGTAGTCTGCTAAGTAATAAATAGCTGCTAAGATTGATTAATGGCCCCAGTGAAGTGAAGACATTTAACCAATCACCAAAGCTGTTTGCTGCTAGTGCACTGTAAATCAATAATAATTATTCCTGTTGGAGAGAAAACTATCGTGGCACTTTTTTTAATATAACAAATCTGATTTTTTGTTCTCTTTTGACCTCCAGAAGGCTTTCCTTAGAGAGCAATGTTAAAATGGATAGCTAGCTCCTCCTTTTTTGGAAAAGAATGATTAGATTGGACAATAAAGTTTAGTCTCAATTGTCAACAAGATTAGGATTTAAAATCATGTGTATGCAGTGATTGTGGGGATCTCAGGTGCTGGAATAGATCGACCTCACCTGGAGAACTCACATGGCATCTGGCCACTTAAATGTGCTTCTCCATTGTTCCATGTGGCAGGAGTAAATACCGAGACTGGATTCCTCCACCAGCAAATTTGCACTTCAGTGGACATCCATCAGCAGCCTACTGAAGCTAACATTTATTAAGAACTCACTGCAGGGCCGGCCCCGTGGCTTAGCAGTTAGGTGCGTGCGCTCCACTACCGGCAGCCCGGGTTCCGATCCCAGGCGCGCACCGATGCACCGCTTCTCTGGCCATGCTAAGGCCGCGTCCCACAAACAGCAACTAGAAGGATGTGCAACCATGACATACAGCTACCTGCTGGGGTTTTGGGGAAAAAAAGGAGGAGGATTGGCAGTGGATGTTAGCTCAGAGCCGGTCTTCCTCAGCAAAAAGGAGGAGGATTAGCATGGATGTTAGCTCAGGGCTGATCCTCACAAAAAGGAAAAAAAAAAACTCACTGCATATATTTTATGTACATTGACTCAATTTGTCCTTATAAAACCCTATGAAGTAGGAACTAATATAATTCCCACTTTCAGATGAGGACATTCAAAAAAGGTTAATAAATTGTCCAAAGTCATAGAGGGCAGAGCCAAGTTTGGACTCAGGTTTATCTTACACCAAACTTTATGCTCTTAGCTATTACACCAGAGAGTCCCAAATTTTCTCAGCTCATGGCACCCTCACTGTCTCAGCAACTTTTTTCCTAATGCCCCTACGCCAAAATGAATACCTAACCGCTCTATTGATTACTCAGTTAAATCCAAACAGCTTAAGAAGTATTCGTTTCATAACAACATATCTATTTAAAAAAGTAATACAGAAAAATTGAATAAAAAAATAATTTTTTATTTCATTCTTAACCACGATTACTTACTAAAGAGATATAAGCATCTACTGGGCACTGCACAATTTCTCAAGTCTTGGAAACAGATAGAACACTGCTACCCACACTTCCTGTTCCACATTGATTTTTGTGTCGACCTTGCATTTGATCACAGCAGCCACCAAAAACCCAGCTCCACAAAGATATGGCGTCAGCAAAAGGAAAGTAACATGATCTAATCCTGAAACTGCCAACTACCTTACTGTGTGGCGGTGTGTGCAGCATTCAAGATGTTTACCTCAAAACGTTCAAATATCCTGCAGCGTCTGTGTGAATTCACTGTGGTGCCCCAAGGCCCCTTGGCACACAGTTTGGGAATCATGGTGGTACACTATAATGCCAGCCAGTAGCACCCAGGTGCTCGAGTTCTGCCACCAGGAGACTTTCTACACCTCTAAGAATTCTGGACTAGGTAGATAACGGAGGTCCCCCAGAGCACTGTATTCTAACCTCTCGTTATTATTCTTATCTATGTTATTAGAAGTAGACATGAGGCTGCTACAATAACATTGCACTTTCATAGAATGGTCACTTCCCTAGTGTATGATGCAATAGTAAGAGATGTGAGTTCAAATTCTAGCTCTGCCATTTACTGACTTTGTCATAATAATAATAATGATTATAATAATAATCATAGTTTTTATTGGTCACTTACTATGAACCAGACATTATTCAAAGCATTCACACTAATGACCTAATTTAATCTTCATAACAACTCTACTAGTTTGGCCTTATTAGTATCTCTATTTTGCAAATGGTAAAACTGAGGTATAGCATAGTTTAAAAATTTACTCAAGATCATATGACTAGTAAGTCTTAGGAAAATCACTTAATCTCTCTAAATTCTCTTATTCCACCTTTAAAATGGTGGGAATAATGCCTGGCTGAATAAATATGGATTTTAGTATACTTTTAATTTCTACTACAGGAAAAGGGAAGATGGAGGATAAAATAGTTCTTACACTTTCAAATATGAAGTCTTTTTGATAGACCATTTTATCTTTAACCATACACAATTAGCATTTAATAAAATAGTCATTCTCTGAATAGCTCCAAGGTTCCACTGCTCTGTTTCTAAGTATTTTCAGTAAAGACAGTATTTTTTACCTAAGGCTAGGGAATAAAGAGGAGAGGGGCACTGGAGGGTGGAATCCTAACTCTAGAGAAAAGATGTCTTGTTGAAATCTTGCACTGGGGACATTTTAAGACTTAGCTGGAGCCAGCCCTGATGGTCTAGTGGTTAAAGTTCAGTGCTCTCACCACTTCGGCAGACTAGGTTCGCTTCCCGGTGGTGGAACCACACCACTCGTCTGTCGGTTGCCATGCTGTGGCCGCGGCTCACATAGAAGAACTAGAGGGACTTACAACTAGGATACACAACTATGTACTGGGGCTTTGGGGAGGAAAAAAAACAATACTTAGCTGATTCCAGGAGTATGCTCTTGCCTTTACATTCTAAAGCTGTGGCCACAGGTTATGGTCACCTGGGCTAGAGAGAGTGATTACAATACTTGCTTGGTGCCCACTGGCTGCTCTCTGACCTCTTGGACATTTACAGTGGCAAGTGGAGCTTATAAAAATCAACATATACCATTTAACCTTTGACATTCTCATTCTCATACCTGGTTTTAATGTTTTTACTGCTACTGGAGTGGTATTGTTCCACAGGCCTTCCCACACTTCGCCAAACTGACCGGATCCTAATCGCTTCAGAAGCTGTATGGAGTTGCGGTCGATCTCCCACTGGTCCACAGTTTTATAGGACAAGTCAAAAGGAGTTGGGACTTCTATCTGTTTCACAGAATAATTAGAACACTTGTAAGAAAAAAACTGGACTTAACAATTTTGAGAGTTGAAAATAATAGTCTAGGCACTTTATAAAAGAGACATTGTTTTTAAAAACAAAACATTGTAAATTTTATTCTAATTCCTTTAAAATGGAAAGCAGTTGTGGTGGAATCTGTGTGATCACCTCTTCAAGCTAAGGCAGGCACCTTGATGTCCACCTGCCCCATGCCACAGCCAATGCCTGCCTTGCACGGATCTGGCGCAATTTCTCCCTGCCTCTTTGCCTAGCTAAATCCTCCCAATTTCAAGGCCCAGTTGAAGTTGCACCTTCTCCACAAGTACTTCTCAAACTCTTTGACCTATAGCATTTACTATATGTATCGTATGTTTTTGCATAATTAAAATTTTCATAGTTTTTCAAATTCACTTATTTATTTGTTCATTCATTCATTTAGTAAACAAATATTTTTCAAGCACCAACTAAGTGCCATTCTGTAAACAAAATAGGCAACGCATCTGCCTTCCCAGAGCTTATAGTCTAGTTTACCACCTACCATTGGAAACTTATCACCTCCACCAAGTCATCAGCATCTTGAGTGCACAGAAGGTTGCCTAAACTTCTTTATAAACCCTTTTCACCATCAGAACTCAACAATACTGGTTAAACTGAGTATTTTTAAGTCATATATTTATCAGGTAAGCTATATGTTAGCATGAGCTTACATGCTCTTGTGGGGTCACTTGTGTACCATCCAAGATATACATACTTATACCAAAATTGCATATTCACTTGGCAAGATTTAAGTCAATAAGTTCCCCTATACTGAACAAAATTCTTCAACTTCTACTTGTCCATAAAATTCTGGTCAGGTTATCAGCAGGAAGCTTTCACCAATCAGCCAGGTATAAACCACAGGGCTGGCTGTCCCATTGACAGCTTGTGAGACCTGAACTTTGACAAGGAGCTGAGGGCTTGCCCCACTACAGTGTATGACCACTACATAATTTTAAATACATTTAAGTAAAACATGCAAACAACTGAATAACGATAGATGTAGATAAATTCTATTAATGTTGTCTCCTCTTACCAAATAGGCCAGGCCAAACAATCAAACTGTTAGAACAATTAGTTAAATGATATCTATATGCAGACAACTCAGCCAGATAACGAAATTGGTAATTTTATATTAATATTATTGAACACAGATCTAAGTAAGAATTATATTCTGGCACTTTTTTTCCTTCAGCCATATCATTAAGTGCTCCAAAGGCAAGATACCATATTAATGTCTTAGTGCAAAGGATGAATATTTTCTTTCTTCAGTGATTGCCTTAGCTCAGGGGTTGGCAATGTTTTTCTGAAAATAATGAGATAGTAAATATTTTAAGCTTTGTGAGCTATATAGTTTCTGTTGCAACTACTAAACTTTGCTATTATAGCACAAAAGCAACCAAAGACGATTTGTAAATGAATGAGCATGTCTATGTTCAAATAAAATGTATTTATAAAAACAAGTGTGGGACAGTATTGGCTCATGGGCCGTAGTTTGCCTATCCATGCCTTAGGTAATCAAATAATTATTTTTCTGAATGGACAAATGTCACATGACAAATACTCCAATACCTGAAGGAAAAAAATTAACTTCAAAAATAAGAGAACACAACTTGAAAGCATTTCACCTTTAAGCATGGTTTTCCCAGCTTGACACACAGGCCATCACTTGTCTTGGTGTAGTGGCTCACAAACTCATTCAGTGTTGAAAAGGTTTGCCTTCGGGCGAGGAAAAAGCCCCCTGCGTCCAGTCTTCTGATTCTGTAGTGTTTCACAACCCCTTCATCTAAAACTGGAACCCAAAATAAGTACTGTTAATAAACTTCTTGCCAAAGCGGTGCAGATTTATTTATTTTGTGGTGATAGTTGTAATGCATGGAATAAAATTTTCACAATTCTATTTATTTCTCAACTTTGTTTCAGAAAAGACTTCAAGAAGTTTACAAAGGACATATAGCAGAATAAAAAGGAAAAAGAATCAGGAAATTATATTAAAGAAAATATAAGATAAAAATAAAAAAGTGAAGTCAGCACTAAAAAACCTCTGCTTTGAGGCCTTAGTATACTTGATTAACACAAGGCATAAAATTGACTCTATCACTCTAGCAATGCAAAGAATGAAACATTATCAGTTTCAGAAATCACAGCGTTCATAAGATAAAATCACAAAAGGTGTTTAGAAACAGTTCAACTCTCCCTGGAAAACCGGGAGAATTTTTCTCCCATGAAATCCTATAATGTGGACGCTGAAATAGAATAGTGTCCTCAGTACTACCTTTCAACAATGTAAGGAATTCTACAAGGCCAGTCATGATACTGTAACTCAAGGCAGGCTGATAACAGAATGCGCTAGTAAAGTTCAACAAAAGCAATTCCACAGGGCCTAAAATGATGCAGTCCATGTATAGAACTTTCCAGCAGTATTGCTTAATCCAAGGGGAAGTCCTGTAGTGTCTAGAGGAATAAATAGACTGCATACTCCTTTTCAAGTCGTCTGACTTATAATGGATATTTTGTTGCTTTTGTCTGCCACCAACCATTGTTCCTTCTTCTAGTAATGGCACCCCAATTTTCCTCAGAAAATTGTTATTACTCTAAGAGCATGTGGCCTAGAGGGACCTGGTGCCAACCCTAAGCCAAAGAAGGCACAGTCAGAGCCAAGAAGACACAATCCCACGACTTGTATTAGAGAGCTCTAGAAGACAGGACGAAGTTTGCGGTTATTGTTGTTGCTTTGTTTTGTGTTTCTCTTTCACTGCTGATAGTTGGAGCTACTGCCAAAATTCTTGTACCCAGGCAAGAAGAGAGCTTGCCTAAGAAGAGAGGCAGACCAGTGGAAAAGCAGACTTGATATGGAAAGAGAAGCTTAGCTCCTGGAGCCAGCCAAGACTGGCTTTTCAGCTATGAGAGTCAATTATCTTTAATGCTTCAACTAGTTTGAATCAGGTTTTCTGCACTTGCATTCAAAATATTGACGAATGCACTTCATACCTACTCTTTCACTTAGCAAAGTTATTGATAAGTACTGAGCTGCATTTATCAAGAGTACAGATATTCTGAATGCTTTACGAAATATAGGAACTTATGCTTCAATAATTAATCAAGCCAGAGCAATGCTCTCATGAAAGGAAAGAAGACTGGGTAGAAGACATCTCAATCCCAGTGTGCAGGTTTACTGAGGGCATGCCAATGGCTAAGACAATATTTTCCTCAAAAAATAATTGGCACACACCAGAATAGCTAAAATGAAAAAAAGACAATATCAAGTGTCAACAAGGAAGTAGATTAACTAGAACTCTCATACACAGTTGATGGAAGTGTAATTTTTACAACTACTTTGGAAGACTGTTTGTCATGATCAACTAAAATTGAACATAGTCATACCTATAATATAGTACCCACTCCAAAGTATCTAGTCAACAAAAGTGCACAATATATTCACCAATACACACGTATAGGAATGCTTTTAGCGGCATTGTTCGTAAGAGCCTAAACAAGGAAAAAATACAAATGCCCATCAACTGTAGAATGGATTGATAAATTGTTGTATAACTGTCCAGTAGAATACTATACAGATTTGTAAATAAACAAACTATAAATACACACATCAACATGAATGAATCTCAAAAACATAGAAATATGGTTCTATTATTTAAAAACTTAAAAACAAACAAAACTAGTGATATTAGGAGTCAGATTAAGGTATTGGTAATATTCTCTTTTTTGACTGGGTGCTGGTTACATGAGTGTATCTACTTTGTGAATCTTCTTTAAACTAAACTCTAATGAATTGTGCACTTTCATGACGTGTGTCATACATCAATTTAAAAGAATACCAAAAATATGGTTATTTTCTCCAGTTCATAAACAAATCGAAGATCAAGTCCCCAAAGTGCTACACTCACGGCACATGCTGAATTATTTCGGTCTGGAGAGTTATTAAGGTAAATGATACCCAGTTCTTGCCTTGGATATCAAAATTTATCACTAAAGTACTCACAGAACATTAACTTTAAGCAAAGTAATTTTCTGATAAGCATTGTGAGAAATCTGGTTAGAAAACATCCTCCTCAATAACTGAGTGAGTTGACTTGTGGCATAGGGGTATTTGGTATAAGCCAGAAAAATACAGAGGAATATCAAACAAAAATGAAGACTTTGAGTGTACAATACTGAATTTGAAGGTAGCCTTTCAATAACAGCATCAACAACAGTAATGTAACCAGTACACCAGGCAAGCACAACTAATAATGTACTAACACCTTTCCTCCTCCTCCCACTGCTCTTTAAATTGTACTCAGTGAGGATAACACTCCCTTGCCCCAGATGAAAGCTTCAGCAAAGCTTTTCTTCTCACTTTTAGGTATCAGACAGTCCTACTGTCATTTAAAATCACAAACACAATCTCAACTCAAACTTCGAATGCCCAATCACTCTACTACCTGATTTAACATCAGATCTTCTCCCCGTCCACAACTCAGGCCTGCTTCAGGTTGAAAGGCAGTAATGAGAAAGGTGGAAGTAGGGGGCTTCCTCTGTTTCTCCGCCTAGAGTTGCTCCTTCCCAGTTCCCTTGCCAGCCAGGTTCTGAGTATCCAGGTAAGAGCAGAGAGAGGAGAGGATAAAGGATGGGGAAGGTCTTACTTAGACCAGCACCAATCTAAATTGGCTTCAAACTCTCAGCCTGGCGGACATTCAAGCTAGGTCTTCTCTCAAGGACAATCATGCAGGCCCTTTGGAGCTTTCTCATCTCCACAGGACCTCTCACTGCACTTTCTAAAATGCAAGTGTTTCCTAGCTGCCTACACCTAACTGCCTCTCAGCTTCTGTTTCTTTGGCAGTTCACTCACCACTCTCTCCCCATAGGTCTTCCCTCATCCACTGGCAGAAGCCCTCTTGGGCAGAACCCAAAACTCTTCCAGGCCATTTATCTACAGCCCCTGGCACTTTTGCTCATGTAGGAGCTCCACTTATGGTCCTGAGATAATGTTCACACATCCGTTGCCCTGATAACTACTGGGAGGACCGGTAGATGCCATGAAACATCTCTATCCTACTGCCACAGGCTACTTTAGTCTTCTCACCCTGGGTCAGGCTCCAGTGTTCTATCCTCCCAACTGCAGAGAGCAGAGAACAAACTCTCAGAGTCGCCCTCCTGAAGCTCCCTTCACTAAGGTTGGGGTCCCACTCAGCCCCCTGGGAAGAAAAGAGAGACTCATAGAGTGCCAATAGCTGTCTCCAAAAGCAAAATGCCCTCCCAAATCCTTCCTCCCTTCTACTGCTAGCACCCTTGTTAAATCAGTAACCAGTGAGGGATCCAAGAACTGCAAGTACTTGTCTTTGTAAACTCTAGGTATGGGGATCTGGCTTTGGAATTTTACATCTATAATACCTTGATAGCCTCAGTCAAAAACTCATTTAACATTCTATTATATTCTCATTTATTGAACCAAGCACTATATTACATTATCTCTTTTTATCCTCATAATAGTCATATAAGGTAGGCATTAACAGGCTCATTTTATAACTTGTAAAAGCAAGTACATGGTACTGCCGGGATTCAACCTTGGGAATTTGTGAATCTAAGATTCCCTACAACCAGAGGGTTTCAGACAGTAGGTCCAGTTGTCTAATAAGACACCTCCAGTTCATGACAATAAAATTATGTCATCTGTTGATATCATATATAGAAAACCCAAAACACTCCACCAAAAAACTGTTAGAACTAATAAACAAATTCAGTAAAGTTTCAGGATACAAAATTAATATACAAAAATTAATTGCATTTCCAAACACCAACAATAAACTATCAGAAAGAGAAATTAAGAAAATAATCCCATTTACAATAGCATAAAAAAGAAAAAAATACTTAGGAAAAAATTTAACCAAGGAGGTGAAAGATCTGTACACTGAAAAGTGTAAAACATTAATGAAAGAATTTGAAGAAGACACGCATAAATGGAAAGATAGTCCATGCTCATGGATTAGAAGAATTAATATTATTAAAGTGTCCATACTACCCAAAGTGATCTATAAATTCAATGCAATCCCTATCAAAATTTCAATGGCATTTTTCAGAGAAGTAGAACAAACAATCTTAAAATTCATATGGAACCACAAAAGACCCTGAGAAAGAAGAACAGAGCTGGAGGCATCAAGCTCCCTGATTCCAAACTATACTACAAAGCTATAGCAATCAAACCAGTACAATATTTGCATAAAAAAGAGACACAAAGATCAATGGAACAGAATAGAGAGCCCAGAAATAAACCTATGCATATATGATCAATTAATTTATAACAAAGGAGCCAAAAATATACAACGGGGAAAGGATAGACCCTTCAATAAATGATGTTGGGAAAACTGAACAGCCACATGCAAAAGAATGAAACTAGACATTTATCTTGCACCATTCACAAAAATTAACTCAAAATGGACCAAAGACTTGAATATAAAACCATAAAACTAGGAGGAAACATAGGTGGAAAGCTCCTTGACATCAGTCTTGGTAATGATTTTTGGACTTGACACCAAAAGCAAAGGCAACAAAAGCAAAAATAAACAAGTGGGGCTATATTAAACTAAAAAGCTTCTGCACAGCAAAGGAAACCATCAACAAAATGAAAAGGCAACTTATGGAATGGGAAAAAATATTTGCAAAATACATATCCAATAAGGGGTTAATATCCAAAATATACAAGGAACTCATACAACTTAAAAATCAAACAACCCAATTAAAAAGTGGGCAAATGATCTGAATAGACATTTTTCCAAAAAGACATACAAATGGTCA